AGCCCCACCAAACCTCGTAAAACATACCTAAAATAACTAATCAAATCCCCTCGCCTCAAGAAAATGATAAAATTGTTTGTTGAAGGAAATGAAGTTTTTATTTAAATAAAAGGTAACAAAAACAGTACCTTCACCAAAAAATTTCTCTTTGATATTTTTTTATAGCTATTTTAATAAAAACAATTTTATTGGTGATTTGGCACAATTTTAACAGTCACCATCGTCAAGGCATAGAGCCACCATGACGTAACCCTGCCATAGAATGACGAACCCCTAGAGGCACGCGTACCTCACTTTGAGTTTCTCAATCTTTACGGAAAACAAAATATCATCCCTATTATAATAATTATTGCTATTTAACAATTAATCCACCCTTTTTTATATTTCTATTCTTAATTAAGTATTTTTCCTTTAATTTGTATAACACAAGAGAGAAATAAAGTGTACTTCTTTATATATTTATTCAATCATAGTATAACACAAAGTCGCTTCTCGCTGTCTGTGCGTTGAATCTATTAAAGTACACAACGGATTGTAATGCTGTTCATTAATAAATATAGTGATTTAAGAGGAAGGTTTAGTTATAATACAGGACCACACGGGCGGAAAAATAAATTAATTTAAAATCATATTTGAGAAACCTATTCTTATCGGAAGTACTCTGATTACACCTTTTCATATCCACTTGTTGTCAACTAGCAGCCGGAAGAGGGCGCGCAAGAGCTTTACAGCGGAAACTGCATTTCCCTCACTTCCGTTCGACTTTCATTGTAAGCTAATAAAAACTGTTGTTTTACAAACTTGAACTTAATAAACTTCTTTAACAAATAAGAATAAATTAATGTTCCTCAATTTGAATAATGAGCGATCTAATAAAATGGGTAAAAAGGCAGTTGTTGTAAATCTTCTAATACTAATTTTTAAGGTTCCGTAACCAAATGGTAAAACGGGAACCCTATTATTAAGACTTTGCTATCTGTCACAAGGCTGTATCTCATAAATTGCGAAAGTGAACCAAAGCAGAATAAAATAAATATTTAAAGGGGCTCCTATAAAACAAACGCGATTTTTTTTTTGCTTGTTTTTGCTCGATATTGATAACGACAACAGGTGAGTAGCTCGGTGGCGTAGTGGATAAGCGCCGCGGCCCGCGATCGTAGTCGTTAAGCAACTTTCGCAAGGGTCGGTCACGGGATGGGTGACCAAAAAATTATTATCTCGAGCTACTCCGTGCTTCGGAAGGCACGTTAAGCCGTTGGTCCCGGCTGCATTTGCAGTCGTTAATACCCTCCAATCCGCATTGGGCCAGCGTGGAGGGTCATGGCCCATCCTCCTTAACCATCCATAAGGAAGGCCTGAGCCCCTGCAGTGGGGACGTAAAAAAGGCTGGTGATGATGTGTGATGTGTAGAAGCAGTGGTGGACTAACCCTGTCGGGGGCCCGGGGCGGCATTAGGTCCGTACCTACAACTGGTGCAGAAACTTGATTTTGTGTTTACACTGCCTCCCCTGCTAAGATGCCTGCTAAAACTACGAAACTAAGAAAGATAAGGCAGTACAATCCCAATTTATGATTTGATCAAGGGAACTTTCAGCCATTTGGAGGCCCCCAAGGATAAGAGGCGCGGGGCGGACCGCCCCTTCATTAAAAATATCTTTCAGTATAGTATTTTGAATTCAAAATTGATCAAATCTAATAATTAGAGCAAATTTTCATCTTTCATCGAAAGTTTAAATATTTATAAAATATATTTCTTTCGGCTGTTTGGGTAGATTGACATTGATAGAAATATGCTCAGTCATCATCATCACCAGCCCTTTTACGTCCCCACTGCAGGGGCTCAGGCCTTCCTTATGGATGGTTAAGGAGGATGGGCCATGACCCTCCACGCTGGCCCAATGCGGATTGGAGGGTATCAACGACTGCAAATGCAGCCGGGATCAACGGCTTAACGTGCCTTCCGAAGCACGGAGTAGCTCGAGATATTAATTTTTTGGTAACCCATTCCGTGACCGACCTTTGCGAAAGTTGCTTAACGACTACGATCGCGGGCCGCGGCGCTTATCGACTACGCCACCGAGCAACTATACGCTCAGTAGTAGCGAACAGTTAATAAACGCTTTAAAAAAATCGTCATTTCTCTTAAGTAATGGGTAGCTCAGTGGTTAGAGCAGTCGCCCGGATTGTGATAGGTCATGGGTTTGAGTCCCATCTCAGACAGCCAGGGACAAAATGGATTTTTATAGCATTTTTCATTAAGAATAACTGTTTGATTGATGACCTGTTATTATTATAGATATTTATAGATTTCCTTTTTTTACTTCATAATCAAACTCTGAAGAAGTAGGTACTTTCCCCTTTTATTACATCTCCTTAAATAAATTTAACAGTTGTTTTATTCTTTAAAAAAATAATTATTACATCTACACGATTGCCCAAAGCATTATATGCGTACTTTTCATTAAATACCCAGCACATATTGTTCGCATTTCATTAGGAACAGAGCGACTATTCTTTAAGCCCTTAAACGAAATTTAGGAAAATTTAGAATTGACCTTATAATTATAATACAATTATATCAGAGCAGATTATTTACTCATCAGAGGCAGTACCAGGCCCTTCTCCCGTTACATCATAAATGATCGAATAATACCTTTATAAATATTTTCACAAAAAGCAATGGACGTTATAATGGCACAATATTCATTTATTTAAGTCTATATCGGTATATGTATTAAATTTTATAAGTGTATTCAGCTTTATAGAGTATAGATAACTTTATATATGTTTGTATGTTTGACCACCCTCGCAAATTAGTCATCAGATCAGATCATCAGTGTGATTTAAATTGTTATTGGTTTTATGCACAATTTGCCATCTTATGATTGTGTTTTTTTACTATCCAATACAAGGTTGCATCGAAGAAATTGCTGGGTAGCGATATGGCCGCATTTTGTTCGATTTTATGTAAAGATTTGTGTGTCTATGCAATTTTAATTTGTTTATGCAGATTTATGTGTGTCTTTGTAATATTAATTTGGTTTATGGAGTAAAGAGCATTTATTTTTTATTATTAAATGAAAAGCAATATCGCCATAAAATTGATATCAGGTCGTATCCTTGGATTATATATCATGGCCAGAGAGAGAGAGTAAAGCGGTTGCACCCAAGATATCATCGAAATCCGTTAAGTGGTTTTGAAACCACTGAACTTTTAAAGTTGAACCGATTTTAACAAGAACCAAATAAAATTAATTCACTGTTCGAAAATTCATTATCGAAAAAACAGAATAAGCCCCCCAGTTCACACCGTATGAGGTCGTATAATTTTTATTTCTTCTCCTTTAATTACAAATAGTACGTACCGTGGTGGGTAACTGCTATACAAGGGCGCACTGAATATTTTATTTTCACTCTGACCTTATTCGTATTTAATACAGGTTTCTATTTCTGTTTGCCTAACCTTTTCGTCGTTTCCACTAATGAAACGGCGTAGTTGAATGTGAATGTTCACGTGGAGTCGTGTCTCTAAATATTTCATTTAGTTGAGCATGTGATAGTTTAATTGTAATATATCGTTGTTGGGACATTTGGCATTCGTTCATTTGTTTATCTAATTTTAGGTGAGTCAAAAAACTTGTATGCATTAGTGATAATTCACATTGCTAAATTAGATTTTGAAACATTCGTTCTAACGTTGTATCAATTTTTGAAGGAGTATTCCTTTTATTACACCTCTTTCCCCTCTATCTCTATAAATATTTTATCACCAGCAGTTTCTCGCGATTTCGCTCACATATATTATAGCCTATGTCACCCGCGCAAATAGCCTACCCGTAGGTAGAATTCTTAGAATCGATCCAGTAGTTTCGGAGTCTAATCAAGACTTTTGCATCCCATCTAGGATGATAGTAACTCTCCTGATAGTTAAGTTTAATAAAAGAAAATACTAAAAAATAAAAAGTAGTTTGATAAAAAATAAATTGTATTTTCATCGAATTGGACCAAACATGGAGAACGACTCTTAACCCCCATCCGTGCCAAGGGGAATTGGTGTATAATAACAATTACCGGTGCAGACGAGAACACCGGTTTAACGTGTTTTCTGATGCACGAAGGAGCTGGAGGAATTGCTTGAGAGGATGCGTATGCCCAAAATCACTTACTTGTAACTGTTTTTTTTTTTAAGAAATTACGTTAAAATAAGCTATAACCCAAAATGAGAATATTACATCATATTTCTAAGGTTTCTATTGGAGCTAAAATATTAATTTAAAAATTATTCCAAATGGAAAAAAAAAAACACAAAATAGTTTTTATCCCACAAATTTAACGGGATTAAACAGCGCTTTTATAATAATCGTAACTGTTTGCATTGCAATCGTAATATAACCATCCCGTTCCTATTTATCTCATTCCCAAGAGCTCAATGAGTTAGATCGTGCTAGTGTTTTGACTTTATGCCACGGAACATCTGTACACAGACCGCCGAAACACGTGATTTTTTTTCACAATGAAACAATCTCTATCAGTTTCATAGTTTACAATTTTATATAGCCTTCTAGAAACTTATATAATATACACCCATGGAAATTGAACCTAAAAAGAATAGATACCGATTTCGACAAAACTCATTGTGGTGTTGAAATAAGTTCACACGTTTCAACAGAACTGAGCCATTTGCAAAGCTTCGTTTAAAACATTTTCATTTGGAAGTTATATGGAGGTCGCGAGAATAAAAGAAAACCCCGATTTCAATTACGAATCTTACCACTTGTAATTTTCTTTTTCGTATTTTTTTTTCAATAAATTTGCGACCATCTCTTTTGAACTCAGGGTCTCCTACCGTTCGATCAATCGACCCTCCTGTAATACTTAATTCGCAACTGTATTGTTTGGCAACACAAAGGGTTATTCTAATTGAAAATGATTACTATTTTTCTATTGATTAATATTAATGTTCAAGACAATTCCTTATTAGTCTTATATTTCGTTTTCAGCCTGCATCAGCATCTTCGGTGTTATTGGTGCATTTGGGAGCAGTAGGTGCATTGGCGAGCGGCGCAGCACTATGCGGCGGCAACGGAGCGTGCGCTTGCGGCGCGTTATTGCACGCTCTGCATCCGCTGCAGTTGTGGACCGTATGTGGGTTGCATGCAGATCGAGCTGCTGCAATAGCTGCACCGTTGCATTATGCAGCAATTGTTTCTGCAAAGAAGGTGATAATCAGATATCTATTAAATGGTATCATAAATTATCATTCATTACTCTTCAACTACCATTATTTATATTGATTTATTTATTAAACTAATTTTAATTGTTTAAAGAATCATGTCCTCTTTCCAAACATTGATTGATCCGTCACATGTTTTTTTAAAGGTCGCGTCTACCCACTATTAATCATAATTTAAATTAGTTTTTCCTTAAAATAGAATAACATTATAGCATCTTTTTATCTGAAGAACAGGGAGAATCGTAATTTGTTAATAATGTTTTGAGGTTATAATAGCTGACAAAAGTCGAGATTATTGTGAAGTTATTTTAAATTTCAATGCATTAAAATCAAAGGTATTTATAGTTTGTCCCGTGAATATGGTTTATTTTTATTTATTTATAAAAAAATTATTATGTCCCATCTGAGTGTGCCAGGGACAAAGTGAATTTTCTAAGGATTTTTCTATCGAAAGTTTAAATATTCGTAAAAATATTTCTTTCGGTTGTTTGAGTGGATTGCCTGAACATTGATGAAAATATCCTCTGTAGTAGCGAAAAAGTCATAAATGCTTGTAAAATCCGACGGTCCTATTAGGTCCTGGGTAGCTCAGTGGTTAGAGCAGTCGCTCGGATTGCGGAAGGTCATGGGTGCGAGTCCCATCTGAGATGCCAGGACAAAACGATTTTTTAAGCATTTTTCATTGATCATTGTAAATATAATAGTTAGGAGTCCTAACCATTAATCGTCTAAAACTAATCGTCCATCGTCCTAACTTAAGACGATGGACGATTGGGACGATTACGACTTCCTTTCTTATATACGGGCCTTACTATTTTGGTGTATACACATGTGTTTACCAATTTTGCAAGAATAAGGGAAATTTCTTTGCTTTCTTTATTTTATATCTACAGCCCGCATCGTCTCAGATACAGATGCCTTATTAATATTCATTGTATTTATAGTTTTAAGAATGTCCTTAGGCTTTATTTTTCGTTCTGCTTTATTTAAAATAAAATTTCTACATCGGAAAATTACGTATATAACACTACTTTGGAATGAACCAGCAAAGTTATTAGCGCTAGTGTAATTATTTTTGTTTGTTTATCCTGCTTTAATATTAAATAACCAGTATCTCTAATCCATTAATAAAAAAGCTTATCTCTATATTCGTATGCTTTAATAACGCAAGTTAATCCATTTTATTGTTTTGATTTTTATAATTTATTGTACTTTTTTTTGTTTTAGTATATCAAAAACGTAATTTTGAATGTGCTTACTTGTTAACCTTACGCTGAAAGAATATTTTTAACGTAGCAAACCATAATTGGGTCCGAATCGCATTGAGGTAATGTAGCAAATCGTCAATTTAGGGTCCGAATCGTATTCTGCTAGCGCAGTCTTGCAATTTTTATCCTGATTTTATTTTACTGGTCTAGTAAAATAAAATCAGGATAAAAATTACTAGACGCGTTTATAAATTTTTAGGTCAAAATTGGACATGATTCTTTATTAAACAGACACAATAATTTAATATGAAATATCCAGAAGCATTGTGTAGTTATTAAATGATTTATTTTACATTTTCATTCTAAAGGTGATGATTTGCGTGGCAAGCGGCTGGGTCGCGACAGCGGCGTTGCTAGCTCCGCTCGTTGCTGCACAGCCGCCACTGGCATACAGCGCGGGATTGGGTAGCTGCGCCCCTGATTGTGGAGCAGGACCAGCGGCTCTGGGTTTCTGCATCTTGTACTCTATATTTACTCTTTTAATCCCCGTTACTCTAGTACTACTTTGTAGTCTCAAAATACTTCGCATCGCCAGATATCATCGCCACAGGATAGCAGCGGCTATTTACGAAGTAACTTTGTCAGCACAAGTGACAGTGACGCATCAACGAAACCCTTTCTCAGCGCCTCCTCCGCCCCGACGGCGTGCTTTGTCAGCAGTGCTACAACCTCTATGCTCTTTAGCTATTCTTTACTTTCCATATTATTGCGTACTGATATGGCCAGCTGTTGCTATTCCACCGCAACCAGTAGCTGCGCTAGCCGCTACTCTTTTAGCTGCAGCGCCACCAGTTAATGGTATTGTTTATGGAATACGAAGTCATGCTTTAAGAGATTCTCTTCGAAATTATCGACGCAAACGAATGACCAAGAGCGAAGTGACCCAAGAGATACAAGCGAGGACACCAAGCGCTTGTGGGTCACGACGGCCATCCCTGTCGGCCGGTTCGGGATGCATACGACCTCCGACGACGAGGAGATTGTCCGACGCAGCAGCAATGGGTTCACGAGGATCAGAAAGACCCGCTCAAAGAGCAGCTTCATGTAATATGTTGCAAGATCACCAAGATGAAGAGCATCCACGTATACGGACATCTGCTATTCCAATAATTCGCGCACCACCTCATGTAGTGTTAGGTAGAGCGCTTGGACTCGAAGAGACCGGTACAAGGGGTCGTCGACGGCAATCTCCAAGAATAACGGTAACAAGGGCCATGTCTGATGAAAGTGAATCGCCATCGCGTCGTCCTCTTTGTCGCCAACACTCCCGTTCAAGTGGTGCTCTCCTAAGTGGGCTACCGTATTCCCCAGCATTGTCAGAAAGCATCCACGTGGATCATCCTGACGAGCAACTGCTTCTCTCGTGGCCACAACACCAGCATCACATCAAAAGTGACGCTTTATAAATCGGGTAGTTATTTATGTGTAGCGTAAACCTCGATTAGATGTGCCTAAAGACAATAAGTGCGGTTCGAAGTCGAGTTTGCTTCGGTGTTAAAGATATTATTTTTTACTCGCTTTGTACAACCCGTCTCTACTCGAACTTCCCGACCAAGCCGTGACCAAATATCAAATGTTTCCTAATCTATTTACTACTTATTAGATATAATAATTTCTCTTACAGGGTTCCTCCATATCGTTAGCTTTATCAACTAAAGTATTACTTTAGTCTGTATTTCTGTAATAATAATTTCTGAACATAATTCCATAGTTGTTTAGGTATTTTATTTATTGATCTTGTTGACGTTTAATGGTTGTATCATTTGTATTTTAGTCAATTTATAAATTTGAGTTAATGGTATTTTAATCATTGTTTAAAAAGAGTAATCATCATATTTTAATGAAAAATACTTAAAAAATCCACTTTGTCCAAATGGATTTTTTAAGCATTTTTTAATAAGAATATTACCAATATAGCATTGTGAATGCGAAATTTATCAAATATAATAAGTAACTATCATGTTAGCACATTTCACTTTACAAATAATACTCATAATAGTTCATTACGTAATTTTAAGTAGTTACGAATATATGCAACGCTTCTTCTCAAACGTCGCCGTCCAACGTTTTTGAGAATTCTTCAAAATTTGGAGAAAGCCTATGTTTTTGACAAAACAGATCCTTTTTCACATTAAAATGTATCGAACTGTTGTATTGTGGCCTATTATATTGCATGCATTTTTATTTTTTTCATTACACCGGCCCATATCATGATGCTATGAACATTAAGCGCGATACAGTATACGGACGTGTACTATGACAACGAGCTATGATATGAATATGTCACCGGAAAATAACAAGAACCGCAATTGATAAAATTTCTAGAAAATTTATGAATTTTCGTAGGTTCAAACGGGAGATATATTATATTTTACGCTCACTTTTTCGTAAATTTATCAATTTGCAACGTCTTGTGGTAAATTTATAAACTAACATATGTCTATTCGTAAGATTCTGAACGATTCAACCAATAACAGACTACTTTGAAATACGACAAAAATACACTCCATAATTAGTTGATGTTGACAGTAGCAATGCTTGTGTCCGCACTATCTTCGCTATTTTGACTGTCCGCAGCTTCTAGGCCACTCTTTATGGGTCTACTTTAGTAACGTTAGCAAAATTAAACTATAATTACAGTTCTAACACAGTTAAAACATTAAAAACTTTACGAAAACACACGCGCACAAACCAGTTTGTTTATGTTCTGTGGATAATAAAGTACTTTGTGGTTCTGTGGCGAACAATGACGGTGGAGATGAAGGAGAGGTAACACGTGACTAATTCAACCAATCAGAACGCACTTGGCGTTTGCTTATTGCTTACTTATTATTTTACGCGTAAGTTCGGTAAATGAATCAATTTACGAAAATGTGAGCGTTAAATAATACAATTTATCTCTCGTTTAGAATCCTACGAAAGTTTATAAATTTATTAGGAAATTTATAAATTTTTGTTTTTTGTTATTTTCAGGTGACATATAGTTATAGTTTACACCAAACCAAACTTATTGAATAGTATGTATTGGCCAAAACGTTCTACTACCGAATAACGCCATAACGTGCTGTGCATGTTCCTTGCTTATTGTACGATACTACGTAATGGGCAAACGGTACTTCTATTTTTTGCGTAATTTTATTTCGAGTAATATTACCAGACATTTTAAAAATCTATCTGAAGGAGGTTTTGTTGTGGCATTATGCTTAAAATTGATGTGTGTAACCTGTTATGCCTGAGATAAAAAAAAATATATGCCACGTTTTATTCTGTCTTAACATTTTATTCAAACGAACACAAAGCCTAGACAAACAAGAATAATATATAAATAAAATCATAGACACCTTCTTATGCCTGTAGAGTGTCTTAAAACGAATTATTGCCAAAGATATTTCGAAATCTCACTTTTGTTAAATAGGTTTTTAGATTGTGTATTATTTTTAGGTTGATATTTTTATCAAACTTCATGTATCCGTGTATTATCAAGCAATTGAAATGTATATTTTGTTATTTCAGTTATATCTCAAAGACTGTTCTGGTTATAGTTTTCGCAATGTGTCAGTATAGAACGTATCATGTGAATTAGATTATAATAGAGGATTCAAATTAAATGTCGTTATTTAATGATAAATGTTTATAGAGCTGATGAATTATGAACTGTTATTCTAGTCAATGAACTATTGTTTTATTGTATCTGTGTTAATTAAATATGATTTAAAAGTGATAAATTAAAACGAATCGACATAAATTGACTTTTTACTTTAAAATAAACGAAATATTAGTACCTAAATACAAAAACGACTTCCGTAGTGTTATTCTGAAGCGCTATAGAAGTGCTAAAGTGAAGAACCGATGGTCATTGGGACGGAAAAGCCCTGGAATGGAATGTATAAATAAAATAATTTTTCAAATTAACCTACTTGAAATTAAAAAAAAAGTGATAAATAATACTTATTTTAAAAGCGGTTAAATTTTTCAAGAACCGTTGAAATCGAGCTGAGGTTTTCTGTACTTTATTAAATATTAACCGTCTGACTTCAATTTTTCTTATTTAACATTTTTTTTAAATTGAATTCGGTTCTATTTTTGAAAAATGTGTTTTATATAACTATTTTGTAAAGGTATCACTAACATCTGAAATATGTATAAAAGAAATTATATTTACAACGAAAGGCCTGAATTTTACTAGAGAGTGTTTTTAGGCCACGAAGTAATAGGTTAACATACCTACTTGAATAAAAAATAATATAATATACATTAAAGATAGTTTAATAGAAATAGACAAACCTGAGGACAGCTGAAGTAATACGAGGATCGGGTGCAAGACGAGCGAAGAGTAAAGTATATAAGACAACTTTACTCTTCATTAAAAATATAAAATATGGCTATAAAATATCTTCTTTTAATTGGTTATATAGCTTAGCTTAGCTTTAGTATAGGCAACTGCGCAAATTGTGTTGATAATTTTATCATACACGCACACAGATGCTAAAGTGGTTTAATTTTTTAAAGTTAATTTAATTTTTTCAAGGCGTGGAATTCGTTAGTTGTCGAAATACAACTTTTGAAAATACGTAAAATTGATTCTTTTTTTGATGTTTTATGAACTTTGACAAATGTTTTTGTCTTAAACACGATTCGATTTATATGCACAGAGCCTACTTTGGTGATGGTTTTTTTTTTTAAAGAAATTCTCAAAATTACAGTATTTATTACATATATACATATAAATATATAATTGATTTTATACATATATCTACATCACTCGCTCATTCATTCAATCATCATAATGGGTGAAATTTTTGACAGCTGGCAATACAATATCAATTACCCATTTTTCCGTTCATTATATCGTTCGCACATATTCTGTCTTTGTTTAATTTAAAGTTTAATCGTAGATATGAGGGAGACAAATAGAGTAAACCTATTTATATTATATAGTATAAATATTATTTGCAAGGCTACGTCCTGATTTCGGAAAAGTGCTACGCTTTTTGGCGCATCTGTTGTATGGAATTGCTTCTCTAGTTATTAAACACAAAATCTACAAAGAGTATATTTACATAAAGATATAAAAAAGTATAATCTATGTACAAAAAGGATATTCTTAATACTCGTTTTGAACATAGAAATCTTTTGTTTTTTCGCCGATATAAACATGACATCAACATATTTATGTGATATCTGAGGAAAGGCATATTAGGTTTTGTTATAAAATGAAAACTACTGATTCAATTTCGACCTGCGCCCATTAAACTGTCGAATAAAAAATAATTTTGAATAAATAAATGTATAATTGGCGGAGTAATCGCACACCAAACCCACAAAAAACATACAGTCGAATTGCGAACCTCCTCCTTTTTTTAAAGGTTGCGAGAAGCCGCTGTAGGCCGGCAGCGTAGGACCAATCGTCGTGGAGATCTATAAGGAAGGCCTGTGCTCAGCATCGGGCGTCGTTCAGCTATTCTTTCATAAAACAGCCTGAAAATCGTCGGTGAACGCACTGCTGTCACGTATAATACAATGGCCTCCTATATACTCTTGGAGACAAGTTTTTCTAAATTAAAATTGTGACATATTACGAGCGCGCATGGGTGCTTTGCCGACCGTCTCTCTTACTAAGAAGGAGTAACTAGATGACAATAAAATCGATAAAACGATGTGTTGTGTTGGCACAAAACCCTTAGAATTATAATTTTCCAGTTCCGGACATCTTGCCTAGTAAAGGTAAAATGGTTTTATTTTAATGAAATTCAATGATGCGCCTTGCGAAGTCGGCTAACCTCTATGGTGCGACAGCGTTGTGCTCGACGCTTCAGAATAACACAGCCGTAATATGCAGTTTAATTTTATAAACACGTTGTTTAATTCAAAGCAGCTTGAAATCCAACTGTAAAATAGTTTATTTTACTGTAATACTGGTTTACTAGGAATGGTAATAAACTCCGGCGTTGAAATTAACACCTCATAAACTATATTATAGTTTAGAAAACAAATTAACCGGCAAGGTACTGATTGTGGCTAAGACTTGGCAAATTTCCGTAATAAAACCTCTAAATACATACAGAGTTATTTCAGAGAGTCAGTATTGTAAATATCTACCAATATACCGATAATGATGATGTTTTTCTGCAACATGTATCTATTACTTAATTAGTAATGAAACTCACGTATAATTAGCCGAGATTAATTATGAAATATCTTACTCTAACGACATTTCTTTTATATGTGACATCAAAAGTCTTTTGAATGTTATATGGAAGCTATATTACTATTTAATTATATAATATTGCTGGTCGCAAATATGTTTGCATAAGTGCCGAAGTGTATAGCTCTGTGGTCTGAGAATGTTGATGTTAAGCAACTTTTCCAAGGGTCGGTCACGAGATGGGCGTCCAAAAAATCATTA